CTAGAGCGCTAGCGCGCCGAGAGAAGCGGAAGAGAGCGCGAGTGCGTGAGAGAGCGCACGTGCGTGAGAGAGCGCCCTGAGTGCGTAGACGAGCGCGAGTGCCGTGAAGAGCGCGAGTGCGTGAGAGAGCCGCGAGTGCGTGAGAGAGCGCGAGTGCGTGAGAGAGCGCGAGTGGAGTGAGAGGAGCGCGAAGTGAGGTGAGAAGGAGAGCGCGAGTTGAGTGACGAGAGCGCGAGTGAGTGACGAGAGCGCAGGAGTGAGAGAGCGTCAGTGTGTGAGAGAGCGTCAGTGTGTTGAGAGAGCGGACAGTTGTGAGAGAGCGTCAGTGTGAAGAGCGTCAGTGTGTGCAGAGAGCGTCAGTGTGTGAGAGAGCGTCAGTTGTTTGTGAGAGAGCGTCCATGTGTGTTGACAGAGCTCAGTGGTGGACAGTGCGTGAGTGAGTGAGAGAGCCGTCAGTGATTGAGAGAGGCGTCAGTGAGTGAGAGAGCGTCAGTGAGGAGAGAGCGTCAGTGGGAGAGGCGTGAGTGTAACGTGTGAGAGAGCCGTGAGTTGTGTGAGAGAGCCCGTGAGTGTGTAGAGAGCGTGAGTTGTGAGAAGAGCGTGAGTGAGTGAGAGAGCGTGAGTGTGTGAGAGAGCGTGAGTGTGTGAGAGAGCGTGGTGCTGTGAGAGAGCGTGAGTGTTGTGAGAGAGCGTGAGTGTGTGATGAGATAAGCGTAGAGTTGTGTGAGAGAGCTGAGTGTGCTGAGGAGAGCGTTGGTGATGTGTGAGAGCGTGAATGTTGAGATGAGCGCGTGTAGTGTGTGCAGAGAGCGTGTAGAAGTGCGTGTATATATCTGTAGGAGTATCGAAGCGTGAGTGGTGAGAGCGGTGAGTGTGGCGTGTGTTTTTGTTGTGTGAAAGAGCTCGTGAGGGTTGTGTGAGAGGCGCGGAGGTGTAGAGAGAGCGTGAGTGTGTGTCGAGAGCGTTGAGGATGTGGTGTGAGAGCGTGAGTGGTGTGTTTTATGAAGCGTGATGTGTGAGGGTGTTGAGAGAGCGTATGTGTGGTGTGTGTGTGGTGTGAGCTGAGTGTGTGGGGATCGAGAAGCGGTGGAGTGTGAGAGAGCGTGACGTGTGGTGAGGAGGGCTGAGTGAGTGAGAGAGCGTGGTAGGGAGGAGAGAGCCCGTGAAGTGAGAGAGCGTGGATGAGAGCCTTGAGGGAGTGCGGCAAGGGAGCGCCCGGGCTGGAGTGGAGTGTGAGCCGAGCGAGGTCTGGTGAGCGGGTGAATGAGTTAGTGCCGGCGTCAAGATGTGACACAAGACCCGAAGATGATTGTTAGAATGTGCGAGCCGAGTATGAGAGCGCAGTGCGAATATGAAGGTTAGGTGGCCCGTAAGAGACCACCGTGGTGGCAATGAAGTTAGTGCGATGCCCCGAGTGAGTGCGAATGTAGTTAGTGCCCGAGCGGATCCCGTGGCAGTAGGCCGAAATGAAATTAGTGTCCGAGTCCGAGTTGATTGACGAATGAGATCAGTCTAGTGTCTGAGCCTGGATTCTGTGGTGGAGTGCGAATTGCAGAGAGTAGTGCGATGTCGTGTAGTGTACTATGAGTGCGAATGAGATTAGTGCCCATAAGCAAAAACGGGAAACCATGTGAAAGATTTTCATTTTTTCCCCGGAAGAGTGATGAGGTTTTTAAAGTTGGATGGTGAGATGGCGAAGAGAGTGTTCCGAAAAAATGCTACATTGCTAAATTTTAACATTTTTTAACTCTTGTTGTAATTGGGGTACAGAAATTTAATATTTTGAGACATTAAAGAATAAAAAGAATATGCTCCTCCCTCATTTGATGGGTATGGTATTGGAATTCATTACTTTATTTTGAAAGAACTCTTTGTGCGCTGACGTGTAGTGTGCGATGTCGCGTGTAGAATTTCGCCCAAAAATCTGATAGTTTGGAAATTTGAAAAAAATACCATTGTAATCTCTCAAATGTTGCTATGCAAGTCTGGTAAGTTAAAAAAGGTGGGCCACAGGAGATGATCTGGAGCAAATTAAAACAATAGAAATGTCGTACTTTGTGCCCAACAAACACACACAGATCAAGACGAAAGACACAGTGTTGCAGAAAGGGCTTTGAAGTATTGATACATGCCCACATCAGAAGAGACACAAAACTGAGGAGAGTATTTAGAGAAATAAAAAGTATGATAGTGGACATGAATAGATTCACCCAGAAAACTGAAAAAGGGGAAGGGGTATGGAAGAAAGGAATGGTACCATCCCACATTTATAGTGGGCGTGGCCTAAGGAAGGCAGGGAGAGCTTGAAGTGGCGCTTTCTGTAGCTATGAAAAAGATTATAAAAGTCAACTTATGTTATTGTCATAAAAGAATTTTACAGCAATTTTACGTGGTAAACGGGGCAATAGTTTCCTCAGAATTTCCTGTCACACGAAAACGGCCTACGACAGGGATGTATTATAGCACGGAGCCCTTTTTAAGATCTATTTAGATGTAAGCCCTTGAAAGTTGGAATAGGAAAGGTGCGTATGGCTTTCTAGTCAGTTGGTAAATGATTATATATACTGCTTACTCGTGCCGGGATGATACTGGTTGGTCATAGCGTGGCCGGGAATATGGGAGACTTGAATTATATGCCATAAAGATTAATATGTATAATCTGAGATATCCGAAAGTGAGAAATGATAGCCAGAACATGTAGACTGAAAGAGGTAGGGAATTCGTAAATAAGATTTAAAGAGTTATACTGTTAAATATTTAGGAGTCACTTTAGTCAATCCAATGGTGAAAGCTGCTGATGACATTAAGTAGAAGTTAGTTTGTTTGTTTGCCATTCATAAGTGTGTTTTTCTATATCTGATAAAAATATTAAACTAAAAAATTTGGAGTGATTGTTGACAAAATTTTTATAAGGTCTTGTAAACCCCCCAGAAATCAAAATATCCATTCCAATTTCTCAGAGCCTTGAGGGTGAAATAATCAATCATAGAACATTAATTTGGGAGTTAATCCTATGAAGAGTATAAGTGCTAGTCGTCAACAGACAGCACTTAGACACACACATTTGGTCGTAAACTAAAGTTTAGGTATAATTGAATCTTAGAATATTTTTCCCAAAGATTTGACATTGAACAGAGAGAAATCCTCCAAAAAAAAGTATAATATATCATGTCTCCTCATAGTCAGTTGTCACGAGTACTGCATATATGCCTCCTACTACACACTCCCGCATCACAACCAGCAGCCAGATTTGGGAAGGAATTAGAAAAGAGGTAGGGTTTAGGACACTTCACAGAGGTTAGACTAGCCCTTGTGAAGCAGCAAAACTCGTTTTGATGCAACAAGTTTCACATGAGATTGTCCAGGAATCAAACCCAGGCCTCCTTGGTGAAAGGCTCTGAGATGACATTCATAAGTTTTATTCCAAAGTCTACCCAATCTCCATTATGATGGCAGACAACAACCACTGAAGGTCTGAATCCATTAGTCTGAAGACAAAGGCTCAAAAGAGAAAGTGGCTTACCATATTTAGTGTTGGGATCTGCAGATGATGATTTGTAGTTATATTTTGGCATATCGTTTGTAGCAGGAATCCCTCGGTTTTGTAAATCTGATATATCATGAACAGATAAGGCAATCTGTATATCAACACCTCCACCTTTTCCTTGAGAAGCAATCTACAAAAAATAATTATTAGAAACAAATCATCAAAACATGCTTCAATAATTTTAGATGTGGAAATCTTTTAATTTAGAAAATGACTGTGATAACTGAGTATGCTGTTAATTTCCACACACCCTTTTCCTAATTTTTATGATAATTTGTATGGTCTTATGACTTTTTTCATTAACTACCGCAGTAGTTCCCCAATTAGGTAGTTTCGTAATCCTGCCTACTTTGAACTATAAGCTGTGTTCTCTGATAGAGAAAATTGGCTCTTGGATACAATGCAAATCTAATGCCCGGGAAATAGATGATTATTAAATTTTGCAATTAGTTAAATTTAATGCCTGTTTAAGAGACTTCTGAGCATTTCACATTTAATGACTAAGACTCATGTTTGTTAAATCTCAAAAATGCGAATATTATACAGGGTGAGTCACGTAACTCTAGTACCTCCTATACCTTTTGAATTGTTGAAGTTATTGCAATGCAGTTTTCAGGAAGTGCAGGAGGGAATGGGGCTATTCGATTCTTGTAATTATCTCTATTTCATTACTTGTATTTTACTAGATGTTTGAGGTAACTTTGTTTTTGCAAATGGAACTGTACATATTTTTCCAATTTATCATGACAAGCGTAAAAAGAAGAATCCAATGATATACAAATTTTCATATGTTAGATAAGCATTTTTTCGGAGTTATTTTGATTTTTTTGCAACTAGAGTTTAACAGATATTTTGAATTGTAACAGTCTGCCACACAAGGTCACGCATCGCTCTCCATCCTTCCATATTTTCATCTCTTTTTAATTACTTAAAGATTGAAAATTCAGACTTGTTACAAGTTGTATGTATTGAAATATGATTGTTGGTGGCAATGATGGAGGCCGTGTCTCCGAAGGGGTGTCACAATGATCTCCTCGCGTCTTGACCGACGAGATGAAGAGGACCAAGGCATTACGGAATCCTTGATTCTCGTGAGATTAAAGTCTGATTTCTACCGCTCTGTTTGCCACACGCTGATAATACGTTTGATAAACAGCTTGGTATTGTTTTTGGGACTGTGAGGATGTCTACCTCAGTTTTCTTTGTGGTGAGCTTTGCTGGTCAGCAATTTCATTCCCTATTATCCCAATGTGACCTGGGATCCAACAAAAAACCATATTATAACAAACTAGTAAATTATGGATTAGGTATTGGATGATTATTGTCAGAGGGTCACAAGGAGAGAAGCAGAGGATCTTTTTTGAATCACAACAGATCACACTTGCTTTTAATGTCATCGATTCAGCAAACTTAAGTGCCTCCAAGAGCGCATATTTTTCTGCAGTATATGCATTGCACGAAGAGCCTAGTTGAAGACTGCATGGCACTGTGGCAGTAGACTGCATACCCTACATTACCAGTCTGGGTGGAACAATCAGTGTATATGAAGGCATAGCCTGGATACATGGATTTCATCTCCTGGAATTTCACCGAAATTGGAGCGGAGTTGGGGGAGTAGAGGATATGGGGAAGTGTGATAATCTCAGGTTTATTTTAGGCCACAGATGCTTCCAAGGGGGAACAAAATTTCAGGGGGGGGGGTACAGGGATGGGGAGTTTTATATCGAGTTTCTGCAAGAGCGTAGAGAGGATGCCTTGAGGTTGGGGTAACGATGGTCTGAGCTCGTAAGATGTCCTGTGGCTTGGCGCAAAGGCGTATTTATGGCTGATATTTTATACCGATATATGATACCGAAGCGGCTGATTACAATATCTCACCTTCAGCTCAGGAATGGTTCACCAGCCTTGACCAAGAGGCATTCACTGTCACTTGTGCGGTAGGTGCCTATTCTGATCCGTACACCGGCATTATGTATGATATTCAATGAACAGAGAGTTGATGGAGACGCTGACCCATACACAATACACTCATAATCCAAGATAGAACGGACGATAGTTATATGGATGAATTTTCCTGTATAGGCGCAAAAGACATACTCTGAGCCCCATAGTCTACCAGTAAGGGTGTGAAGAAGGTTCAATGGAGATACAGTGTTTCTTCAAGTTTTGAATGTGCTTTCGCCATGTTAAACTCTTGTCAAATGGCATGGCAAGGATAGTGGCAGATTCGATGAAGGGAAGTTCATGACCCCCCCTAAAAAAGATCAGGATGATAATGGAGTTGATATATTCTACAGAAGTACATGCAACTGGATTTTTAAGGTAGAGAACTTGAATCGAGTTTTATCACTCAATTCTAGCAATTTGTTGAGGACAAGCTGAAACTGCCTCTCAATAACTTGCATGCTCTGGAACGGAATATACCAGTTGTCAACTAAGGGCGATGTGTTCACAGGCTCTCAAATTACTGATGCGATACTATCGATAACAACAGCAAACAGAGTGACACTCAGAATTGATACCTTGGGAACACAGTTTTCTAACTGGTGACTTGAGAATAATGTGTCAATGAAGTGGATGTGCAAAGATCTTACCGAAAAAATCTATGAGAAACGAAGGGACCTAAGGCCCTAAGAATGCAAGGTGCAAAGAATGCCGTACCTCCAGGTGGTGTCATATGCTTTATGTCAAAAAAAATTGCTACCAGGTGTTGTCGTAGCACAAAAGAAGTGGAGATCTGAGTGGCAAGGGAGACTAAGTGGTCCATGGTTGATCCGTGCTTCGTGAAACCACACTGAAAAGGTTCCTTTGCTCCAGGAGCCAGACCAGACGTTTGTTTACTATTCGTTCTAAAAGCTTCCACACACAGCTTGTGAACGAGATTGGGCTTTCACTTTAAGGGATTGTTCTGTCCGTTCCTTCTTTAGGGATTGGAATAACAATGCAGAGGAGAAAGGAATGACCATTTTCTGGTGGGTGTTTAAGCATTTGATTATGTATCTGGTCTGGTCCTGGAGCAGAATCTTTTGCACCAGTGAGGGCACAGGAAAATTCATCCATGGAGAAAGGAGCATTGCAGTCTTCCCTCACGCAACTCTATAAATCTAGTCTGCAGTTCACCTATCTTCTTTTGGTTTTCAGAAAACTAGGTGAGTAGTGTCCGGAGCTGGAGATATGCTCGTAGAGAGAGGCCAATTCTTCAACTATATCTTCTGGAGAGGTGATAAGATTTCCATTTACCAGACGCCCGGAGACAGCTGATGGAGGAAGTCTTACACCGATCTGTCAAACTTTTTGCCACACTACTTTACCGCAAGAGAGTGATGAAATACAGGCTCTCCAGAACACTGTCTTACTTTCCCATATGGTCAATCTAGCTCTGGCTAGTGATCTTTTATAATTGATCAGATTATCCATGGTTGGGAACCTACTAAGCTTTGCCAAAGCCCGATTTCAAACCCACACCATGGTGGCATAGTCTGCATTCTACCATGGCATAGGAGGATGTTGTGGGTGACCCAATGACTTCAGGATGGCAATGGAGGCAGCCTGAAGAATTATCATAGCATCAATATCATTTGGGCAGGTTTTTGATATCCGTATTTCTTTCTCGAAAGTTGCTCACTCAGCTCAGTGGATTAGCAAGCGAGAGGGACGAGCAACATTTGGGTTGGGAATATCGAAATTGACCAGAATGGGAAGTGGTCACTGCCTTGCAGGTTGCCAAGGACAGTCTACTTGATGGTAGAAAGACAGACTACAGAGAGCCAGATGGACGAGAAAGTGTTTGAAGGAACAGAGAAATGTGTGCTTTTGCCAGTATTCAGACGAATTAAGTTCTGGTTGTCAATAATATTTTCAAGTATATAGCCTCTCAAGCAGGTCCTAGTGCTATCCCAGATGGAATTGTGGGCATTAAAGTCCCCCACAATAAGAAAAGGGGTAGGCAACTGAAATAACATGGAAGTTCACACAAATGCAAGATATATGAAGTGTGGTTCATACGTCTATTTCTTTGGACACCAGGGAGTCTGTGACTAATGTAACGACACCGCCATTTGCCTGTGAGTCCAACATTAATGTCTTGCCTATAGCAGCAAAAGCCACGAACAGAGAGGGAATGCTCAGGAAGATGTGTTTCCTGCAGGCAGATGACAATGGGTCTATGCAGAGATATTATCAGCTTTAATTCATCTAAACGGGTGTGAAAGCCATTTAGGTTCCATGGGAGGAGAACCATAACTTTTAGATATTAAGTTTCTTACTTCTAAAGGGATATTTTCTTCCCCTTTTTCCGTTTACGCCTCTGTTGCCCGAAGGGACGACTCTCCACCCCAGCTTAAGTTTCCTCTGACACTGATTCCTCCAGAGCACTGCTTGACAGGCTAAGAGATCGCTAAGTGCAAGTCTCAGAAGTGGGGGTAAGTGGTCAGAGTTTGAAGGAACAATCTTTTTTAAGTCTGTCTGGGCCAGAAGGCCAAGTGACATCGGCCTTCATTCAGGGCTGAGAAGGGGATTCTAAGTCTCTTCAACAATTTATAGTTGGATGGAATTATTATCTTCCCGCCTGGCAGAGGCGATGTCTCCTCAGGGAAGTCTCTTGGAGACACCTGGCAACAGAAATGAGCAACTAAGGGAGTAGCAAATGAAGTCTGACAACTTGCTGTTGCTTTTGCTGTCTTGGCCAGAGTACTAGAAAAAGAACGCCTGAGATGTACAGGGTTCTTTATGAAGTATCGACATTTCACCTCGGGAAAAGATACTTTCTCCATCACTCATTTTGGACCTCCCTCACCCTCAGATATGTAGGGCACCCGATCGAGTTGGCTGCACTGTCTCCTTCACAGTTAACACAGCGATGAGGTGAGGCACAAGGATCCATATCATGCGTGGATTTACAGGGCTTACGGCCATGCAGCGCTGTTAGGGGTACGGTGAATGGTCAATTCCACCTAGAGGCCAGCAATTTATCTTATTTTGGGAATTTTTTTTTCGATTTGCTCATCAGTGCATGCTTCGAAGAGAGCAGTACCATTCCTCTGATGCACCACCGCTTGAAGATTATCGAGACGGCCCTCAATGGCTCACGTGAAACGAACCGCACAAGTATTTTTAAATATTTCTCTTTCTTCCATGCATGCCATCAAAAAGAAATGTGGCTTCTTTGGTTTATCTTCTTCCCTAAAGAGAAACAACTCAAATCCACTGTTTTCTCAAAACATCGCCTCTTCCTTCCGGAAGAGGGCAAGGGGTTTGTTTAATGCTCCATAGAATCGAAGCGGATTTGTCACTGTGCTCCCAACACACCACGGAGTCCAATAAGGAGGCACCCCACTGGGACGCCAGGATTGAGATGAAAATATAGTGGGAAGATGTCACAGCGCTGCCCCGCCGTGGATACCACCGCTCACACTAGAGTACAAGTAAGTCAGCCGATTGATCAGGAGTGGGTTAGCTCCCGACCCATCTAGAAGAGACCAAGGCGAAAGCAAGAATGTTGGAAACCTACAAGGAATGTTCCCCAAAATACGTAAACAATGTATCCCTAGGTGCAAGACAGAAAGTATAGCACAAGGAGTTGTTGGGAAAGAAACGGGTCCCTCAACTACCAGGACAAACCTTCCCTCCGACACGATGTGCCAAGCAACGCAAACACATGAGTGGGCGTTCTGCATACACAGGGCCAGTGAAATAGAAGGGGATGAAGAAAAGAGGCAGGATGATATAAAAGAACGAGAATAAACAATGGGTAAGCTCAAGATGATTGGTGAGAGCCCTCCCTGCATCCCCCCGTCAGGACAAGGACCGACCCACCTCGATGTGACGATTGTTTGTTATTTTACCAACAATTAAAGGAGCATCACACTACAGGTTATTAATGGGGTCTTGAAAATAAACACACTGCAATGGTTTTGTGAATAATTGAAATATGTTTAGTATCTTCAAATATTAAGATCCCTTCCCTTACGAGAGTGTGCACTAGCAGGGGAAGCGCTGCGTGATCTTGTGTGACAAACTGTTACATTCAAAATATCCGTTAAACAGAAGTCCCAGAAAAATCAAAATTACTCAATGTTTATCTCACACGTGACAATATGTACATCATTGTACATCATTGGACTAGTATTTTTAGGCTCATTATGCCTGACTGAAAGAATATGTATAGTTCCATTTGAAAAAAACAAAGTTATCTCAAATATCTCATAAAATATAAGTGATAACATAGAAATAAATTCACATATCAATTAGCCCCATTCCCTCATGCACTTCTGTGAAAACTGCATTGCAATAACTTCAATTGTTCAAAAGTTAAAGGAGGTGCTAAAGTTATATGACTCACCCTGTATATGAGTAAATACAAAAATCTGTACAAAGCTGGCTGAAAGCCAAAATTTTGACTGGCTAGCTCAATTCAAGATCACTAAAAATGGTTTTAATATTTTTTAACTACATTTTTTGCACCTTAGGTAGGTTTCAGTTATTCAAATCAGAAAACTTAATCCAGGAATTATGTTCTAAATGGAAGAGTGTTAAAAGATATGAATATTATATATTCAGATCTGTGGCTCGCTTATCAGAGGCTTCATTATACAAGGTGTTGAAAATTAAACTTTATACCTGGGCCTGCTTTTTAGCTTCTTCATAGGCATTCATATCGATTTTTAATCCCTTTTCTTCAGCCATGAGTTGAGTCAAGTCAACTGGGAAGCCGTAAGTATCATAGAGTCGCCATGCAACATCTCCTGGCACTGTATCTGCCCCCTCCAATTTAGCAACAGTACGATTTAGTAAACTTCGACCACGAGATAAGGTCTTCAAAAACTGAATTTCCTCTTCATTAATAATATCTATGATTGCTTGAGGGTCACGTTTAACTTCTGGAAAAGTATCCCCAAGCAAATCAACAACAACATGTACTAGTGACGATAACCATCCTGCTTTGGCATTTAGTTTTTCAGTAGCATACCGCACTGCACGTCGTAAAATTCGTCTTAACACATATCTGTGAAAGAGAACAAAATATTTTAAAGCTACATAAATTAAATGGAACAGAAAATTCCATCAAGTCAAAACAAAGAATTCTAGATGATCACACTGACCCTCGACCAGTATTATCAGGATAGCCTCCATCAGCAAGGGCTATAGTTAAAGTTCTAGCATGATCAGCCAAAACTCGGTACGCCATGTCCACTCCATCAGTGTCTTCACTTCCAACAAGGCCAGCATATGGTCTTGAACCAGTGCCCTAGTTACAATCACACAATTTTATGTTTTACTTTTAAGTAAGTAACCAATTGAAACATATGCCTTTTGAAGTTATACTGTGTATAAAACATACCCACGAATATGTTTCTTTCACACTCATAACAATACACTACTCTTCACACTACTCTTCAATAAAATGTATGAACTCAAAAAATCTAAATTGACTCGTCATACTTTTCAAATTTATTTTACTTAATTTCCCTTTAAAAATTTTTAGGCTGAAGTAGAGAACATGGTACAACTTAAGGAAGGTAATTAAACTAGCATTTCTTGCTGATACAAGGGAGAAATCAATAGTGGAGGAGACGAAAGATAATTAGGGAATTTTGAGGTGCAAATCTTTCAATGGGCAAGGGTAGTGAGGGATTTACATAATATGTTACATTATTATAATAAGCACAGCATGGTTGATCTAAATAAATTTTAAAAATTAAATTACTAGAATAATTTTAATATTTTACAATTGTTTACATGCTTTGTTACATCATTTCATGTCCTAGTGTCTTGCCAGAGTGCCATTTCTATTCTGATTGTTGAAGCAGAAGTTGCATAGTGGAAATTTTGCAGTTTTATTTTGATTTTTTGTGTAGGTCGGGGTAGCTGTCAGAATGGTTACATAAGTTTCAGTCAACAATTATGATTCTTGGCACTTCTCATTGCTTGTGATTTGTGACTATCAGTGAGTGTTCATGAAAATAAATTTGATTGTGATTGTGAAAATAAATTTGATTTTTAATGTGTGGTGCTGAAAGGGGCTCTTAGCCTTGATTAAGTGAATTCAAAAACATAGATTGTGACAGCATTTATGAACACTGTGTGCAAGTTTTCTGTGAGGTTGGCCAAGTGTGTGATAGCTTCGAATGGAAGAGGCCATTCTTATGCACATGTGTTGTGAGTGAAAGGTGACATTGTTCAAAAGAAGCAAATTGAATATGAAAGATTCTTGCGTTTCTTTGGGGGTATCTCCAATTTATATGAAACATTAAGAAATCATACTTAGGTAAGTTAGAGGGAGGGCAAATGGAAACATCCCTTCTACTTTTATTCACTACTCCCTCTTCATCCCATCCTTGCCCTACCATTCCTCTGCTCACTTCTCTAGGGTGTATCATGTTCTCTACTTTAACAGTCTTTTTTTATTAAAAAGCTCTAATGAACCTGTTGGATTGCTTGAAAAAGAGGCATGAAAAGATCAGTGTCATAATTTGATCGTTTTTGCTGGATAACTGACACAAGTCGTTCCAAACCCATACCACAATCTATGTGCTTCTTTGGTAGCGATTTCAGCTCTCCTCCAACCTCTCTGTAACAAGTAATTATAACATTAACATTTTCATTTCATTATACTCCAACTATAAAAATTCTAAACTGGAATGTAGAAGGGTTAAAAAAACACAATAAATAACACAAAAGGAAATCCATTCAAAGATATAGATATAGAAATACAGAAATGTTCATAATGCCAGAAACGCATATCAACATTAAAGGTTTTTACAATATTTACCCATACGCAAGTAAAGAATAATAGGGAAGGCTAATTGGTGGAATATTATGCCTAATAAACCCAAACTTAGCACTGATCTAAGTAAGTCATAAGAAAGAAAATGTACTAACAACTGAAACAAAGTATATAAGAACAATAAATGTATACTTCAGTTCAATTTGTGAAGCTGTTGAAATAATCTGAGAACTCACTAGAATGCTAAGAAGAGAGATAGAAAAGTGATAATTGCAGGAGATTAAACTGCAGAATAGACAAATGAAGTGAAAAGACAAAAAGAGCAATGCAGTATCAGCAAGAGGGACAAACCCTCGTCAATGACCCTAGCACGGAAACATACATCGCACCCAAAGGGAAGGGGGCAACAGATGTAACATATGATACATGGGTTCAAAACCCATGAACAAAAAGAGATGTGGAATGCGGGTAAGGCTGTACTAAGGAATCGCATCCCCATCCTGACATTAAGGCAAACGGATTTTGTAACACAACAGAAGGAACACAAAAAAGAAGGAGAAGACAACTTCAAATGGCACACAAAATACACAACACACAAAGGAACAATTAACAATGCTGAACTATCAAGAGCAACAAGAAAAATGCAGCAAATGTTACAAGAAGTCGAATTCTGTGAACAGAACATAAATCACCAATATGGCTTGATAAGGAATGTTAACACAACATGTTGAAAAATCAAACAAGAATGAGCATGATAGAAACGGAAAATTACACTAAAATTCATGATAGAAAGAAACAAATATAAAACATTAATAAAATGAAAAAACAAATAGAGAAAGAAATGAATAAAAGAATTGAAAAAGCAAAAATAGAACCTCATTGCATAGAAAGAACAAGACAACCCTGATTTCAGGCAGACATACCAATGAAGATATGGGAAGAGCATGTAAGATAAATAAACGGATACAAGGAAAGGAGGCCACAAACAGAGGAAACAGAATGGGAGCCATGTACAGCGATCACCAAGAGAGAAGTTGAGAAACCTATCATGACATCAAAAAAAGGAAAGCAGTAAGACTAGACGGTATATTCTATGAATATCTAAATATGTCATTACCTACGCTAGGAGAAAAATGGACAAATCTAACTAATAAATGTCTAGAAGGTCCAATTCTGCAAGAATAGCAGATAGCCACATTGAAATTACTGTACAAAGGAAAAGGTGATACAAGTACACCAAATGCATATTGGGGAATAGCACTAGAAGTGACAATATTCAAAATGTATACAGAACTGAATGTAAGAAAGCTAATGGCAGTAATAGAACCAACACTTGCCAAAGAGCAATTTGGATTCAGGGAGGGACACTCTTCAAAGGCAGTGGAATGTCTGATGAAAAATATAACAAGCCACCTAGAAAAGCCTAAAGGAAAATTATATACTATATTTGTAGACTTTTCAAAAGCATTCGACAGAGTAAACAAGCAGATAGTAACAGTGAAAATAATAGAGACAGCATGAAAGACATGGCTCATAAAACAACATGCCAACCCAAAAGAAACTTGAAATAAATACAAAAAACCTGACTTAATATATAGAAGAGGAAAAAAATTTCACAAAAAGAAATAATAACTTGTAACAGAAGAGTTAAAAAGAACAAAGACACCGAGATACCGAGGAGTAACAATACACCCGAAAGGAATATTTACAATGCACCTAAATGAATGACTGAAAACTGCCACCAGGAGCATAAATAAGATAAGACACATGAGAAAATCGAGCATTAAAACAGCAATGAAACTGTTTGAGGTAACAATGATACCTACGACCACATATGGAATGAGCTTAACATGGCAATTAACAAAAAACAGATTCAAATGTTGGAAAATCTAAAATCAACATATACTGTATGAAAAGAGTGCTAGGAGTGTCTAACTATATACAAGACTAGAATATGTATTAATAAGAGAGAGACAGATTGAAGACTTAAGGTGCCAAATGCTACTCCTCAGAACAAAAGCATAAGAAGGAGTGGTAAGGGAACAGAAGGAGAAAGATGAAATCTGGCAAGAATTTTACACACAAAATTCTTGACTATCCGGGAGACGTTGATGGCTGAGAAGCCAACAGCCAACGATGGTGTCTCCTGGATAGCCAAGAATTTATGGATTCCAACCGCGGAACCTACGTGTGCAAGAATTCTACAAAACAGATGCTGTGATAAACTGAAATTGGACAGAAACAGGATGTGAACTGAGACACGTAGTGACACAACTAGCAATGCATGGATTTCACCAGAAAATATGCGAAACAAAACTTAACCATGACCAATGTGAAAAATGCATCTGTAGTGAGTGTGGAGAAATTTATGACAGATTCCATTTGGTAAAGTGTATACAGAGCACAAAATCCATCACAGAATAGACAAAAGAATAAACACTGATAAAACTGAGATGAAAGTGCACATTAGTGCATAATTCCTTCGACTATTTTGTGTTCTAAACAATATATAAATACAATTAATTTTAGTTTTAAAAGCATTTTCAGTAACTTACAAACTATTTACTTCAATTTACAACAGAAGCAGACATATCTATTCTCATACCATCTTATTCAAGTTTAATGTATATAGATATATCAACACTTGTTGTATTACAGAAAATATTTTTTTTTAAATTCTGACCTATTGAATTGTATGAAAACCAAATTCCATATTTCCAAAACATCTGGATCATCTTGGTTCACAAGATGAGGAACTTCTCTCCCACCAATTCTGTCAAAATGCAATTCAGAGCAAGGCCCACAAGGTCCTGTTTCACCCATTTCCCAAAAATTGTCTTTCATACTTCCTGGTAGTACATGAGATTCTGGAATACTGAACAGAAAAGAAGGGTTAATAAAAGCAGTAAAATCAAAAATTAAGAACTGAATGTATGACTCAATTCATATCAAAAATCTTAAATAAAATAAAATAAATTGTAACACATACCCCAAGTCAATCCAAATTTGTTTGCACTCGTTATCAGGCTCCAACCCAGCACTAGGTTCGCCTCCAAAGTATGTAACATACAAACGGTCAGCTGGCAGCTTATAGACTTCAGTCAACAATTCCCATGCCCATGTACATATTTCTTTCTTGAAGTAATCTCCGAACGACCAATTGCCCAACATTTCAAAGAATGTGTGATGATAAACATCCTTACCCACATCATCCAAATCATTATGTTTACCACCTGCCCTAATGCATTTCTGAGTATTTGTTGTTCGCACCCACTTTGCCATGTCACTATTGGGATCTGCAGTCCCCAAAAAAATGGGTTTGAACTAAAAAAAGAATATTGTGTAAGCATTGAATAGACACTGAGCTTCAAATTCAAGGCAAATGAATATGTACCTGATTCATTCCTGCGTTAGCAAAAAGTAGAGTGGGGTCATCCAGTGGTATTGTGGATGATGAGTGAACATATTCATGCTGTTTCTTTTTTACAAAGAAGTCAATAAACATTCTTCTGATCTCTTTAGCTGTCAAAGAACTATCCATCTTCGTCTATATTATGAAATAATTCTGTGAAAAATTATAGTATTTTAATTAACGGCCACTACAGATAAGCTCAGAAAGGCAACCCAGACAGGCATATGGAGAACATAAAAAAGTACGAAAAAAATATATTTCTTATTTGTCATCCATTGTGAAAGGTTCAATTAATTCATACTCACAACCGAAAAACTAACAGACACGAATATGCTAGTTAAACAACTTCCAGCACGTGTACGTCAACCGCCGAGAAACCATGCGCAACGTGCTTCACACGAACCACGAACGATGAGTGAAAGAGAGAGAGACTACGTCAGGTAGCACTTGGCATGCATGGCATGACAGATGCACTGTGAAGTACTACCAACTGCTCAATGGCATATAAAATTGGGTATAATGCAATAAGATTCTGAATAATGACCAACTTATGATACGACTTGAGTGGAGTTGAGCTGGAGTTGAATTTATACTAAATTATACAGTAGATAAGAGAACGAAACACCAAGGTTTTTCATTGAATTTGAGCATGAATGAAAGTTACTTATTGTTAGAACGTAAGTTCGAAGAGACCGACAATGTTCTTGACGCCTATTACAGTCTGACCCGAATCGAAATATCAAATTAGTGTACATAAAATCACACGTGTAAAAAAATTCATCATCTCAATTCTGCATGCAAGTCTTAATGTACTGAGGCCGGTGCTGTTATTTGTTTAACTATGTAAGTATTATTTCATGATATGTATATAACCGCAGAAACTCTGTACTTCTTTGAAAACCAATCTGTGGAAAGGAGAAGTTAATTGTTAAGGATCGTATAATTGTGTGTGTAAGCCTCTGTATTTTTACCCCATGTAGTGAATCATAAGTGTTGAATTGTTTCAGGAAACTGAGTAAAGCTCAAAAAAACGCAGTCCTTATTCTACTTTCGTACATGTCACGACATGACGTTTTTTCATTAGCACGTACGATTACAAAGAATCAGGCATCTCCTATTTCAGCCAAAGGTAATTAGGAATAAGATAAATTTTAATAGTGATTTAATCTTGCATACATACGTTTTAATTTTCAGTCTCAGAAAGACAGAAACAAAATGTAGGATTATAAGTAGTTTCATCGGCTGGATTCACAGACCATCCCAATGTTACAAAAAGTATATTTAATTAGTATAAAAATAAATTTAATTGGTATATATATATATATATATATATATATATATATATATATATATTTGTTTGTGACAAAGACATGTAAATTTTGTAAATATATTTTTTTAAGTGATACATGACAAGTTGGATGATGATCTTAGATTTTTGTTTGTTTTTAAATTTTTTAGTTGGCATCCACAAAAAAGATTTTGTTTTTTGATTATTAATTTTACTTTGTTTTTTCATGATTTTATAGTATATTAATTATTGTTTTTGTAGTGTGGATATTACAATTCAAGCAGATGAAATATTTATGACTTTCCTTTATATTTGTGTTTCTGACTTATTGAGATCCACAATAAAACTAAATAAACAAAAATACTCTTCATCTTATCTTAGAACATTACAATTGTTAGTGCGATCTTTTTCTTTGTAGATGCCCAAGAAGCAATCATTTTACACGAAATTGATTTACAAACCTTTCTATCAAGGAAAAAAGTAACAAGAGAAATTCTTTTTAAATATTTGCATGATAATAGAGTTGACATTCCAGGAAACAGTGATAAAAGTCAATTAGTTAGTAAAATAATGCAAATTTTGACACATCACACCAGAGAGGTAAGTTTCTTTTGCTAGCTGTAAATCTTCTAACTTTATTACTAGGGTTCAGGATGTATTGGAATAAAAAACTTAAATTATGTACATAATCATACATAATGTGTGTTTGTGTGTATTAATAAAATAAAAATACATTATTGTGTTGAAAATTAGAATGTATGAGAAAATTTTCAGATTTTTGGACACAGTAGTCATTGAGGATTCAGTTGTAAGGTTCAAGACCTGACTGTCGCAGAATTTTGGACACTGGCAAAATTGCTAGGTTGAGTTCATACACTAGAGGAGAAATCTAGCAGTCTGTAGTTTTCTGCGGTTTCTCTGATTAAAACCAGGCGAATGCCAGAGCAGTAAGGGTGGACTGTATTACCATTATTCTACAGACATGTTTGAGTACTCATAAAAACAAGTCATAAACCTCATACAATATTCTCTTACTCATCATTGTCCCTTTCTTGCCCTTACCCACATACACACACATTTACCTTCATGACCCTACCTTGGAATACCAGACTGCATGTTCTGGGTGGAATGGCTCCATGGTGTGGAAAATAGTTGGAGAGTAATAAGCCCACAAGCCAATGAGTAGATAGTCCGAAATCTCGTGTTTCAGCAAGGAAAGAATGCCACCATCTCCAGGTATATACACTTACAGGACAAATGATCTAAGTAGTTGACAAGCCCTGAAACAAAATGTATTCATGCAATGTTGTAATTGACCTCAAATGAATGAAAATAAGTGCTACAGATTGAGCTTGAGTGAACAGGATTTCATGAATAGATTCTGAATTTTGCATCCCTGACACATGCATATATTTTTCGTGGGGTGCAGCAAGCACCATAAAACAATGGCCTGTAAGAAATGTGTGTCAGGTTTCAATAGTTATACATGAGGTGTATAAATCATGAGCAAACACGACATTGCGATTATTTCTGCAATACACTTATCTGTTCAACCATGGTGCAGAGTATGCAATTTCCTAGAATCAGGGTACATTTGATAGTTCATGCCAGAGATCCAGAGGACACTTGAGCACATTATTATTTCTTATATTTGTAAATGACCTGCTATCAATAATTGAAAACAACAAAACTGTACTTTTTGCTGATGACATTATATAATATTAAAAGAATCGACAAGCTAGTACAATGTATTCGCCATAACAAATTAATCCTAAAACGAGACAAAACAATCACAATACCCTTCCACAACTTCCACTCAACACAACAATACTCACCAAATTTAACATTAGAAAGAAACTTCCTCACACAACCACAGAAAACAAATTGTTTTGGAATCACCATACAATCCAAACTCAAATGGAACTTGCACCTAGAAGATATTAATTCTAAATTGAGCAAGCTTAATTATGCTCTTTGAATAATAATAATAAGAAGAAACAGCACCATTGAGACAGCATGAACAGTGTACTTTGCAAATGTGCCCTCTATTCTCAAATACAGGATAATAATATGGCACCAAGCACCAGAGGCTAAACGAACATTCAAAATACAAAAGAGAATCATTCGAACAACAACAAATACAAAAAGAACAGAGGCCTGCAGACCTCAATTAAAAAATCTTAACATACTTCCACTGCCTTGTATTTTTATTTATGAAGTTATGTTTGTAAAGAAAAAGTAAACAATGACACAAAAAAAGTTAGTAAAAAATTTAACTCAAGCTTACACCCCTATAACACAAGGCGAGCATGTAACCTTCATCAACCAATGTGGACAAGCATATTATACCAAAAGGGTTCATTCTCTTCAGGTATACAATTCTTCAACAAATTACCAATACATCTGAGATACGACAGGCTTGTAGAGCTTCAAGAAAAAACTCACTTCCTTTGGAGAAAAACTTTTTTATAGTGTTCAGGAATACCTCAATGACTAAAACATGCAATGTGATTTCAGGTGCTGCAGTAGGAGTAGGTGTAGAAATAGAAAAAATCTGGCCATAACCTGCCTCCTCACAATTTCATGATTTAATCAAGGACTATGCTAATACTGTTAAATCATATCACACCTCCAATAAAAGAGTGACACAAGTGCAAATTTCTGATTTCTCAGAAATTGCTATTTTAAGTTTCATAGTTCTGTACTACTCTTTATAGATTGCACCAAATATTCACCTTCTAGTGGACAGTAATTGAACTAATTCAAAATCAACTTCAGAATAGTAGCAGTACCTCTTGGTAACATCCTATCAGCTCTTAGCTGAAAAATGACGATTTCGCACTTGTGTCACTTTTCTATTGGAGGTGTGATGTATAGCTGTTACCATAATTGTTATCATGTACTGTTAGTATTACTATAATCATCATCATCAGTAGTAGTAGCAGTAAAATCACTATACCAATTAAATTTATTTTGAAAAATGAAACAGTACAACTCTTGAATTGTTTAAGTATTTTAAATTAAATTGATTTAAGTTAAATGTTCAACTATTTTGCTACTAAAAATAATTATTTGATATGTAATATCTTAATATATCTGTAACAAGTACTGTAGTATAATCTCTAGGCCAATGACCCCATCTTTATCAGGTTTTTTTGTCCAGTTTCCCTGGTCCTTTGAGGAAATGCTGAGATGGCCCCTTGTTTTGCTTCTGGACAATAAAAATAAATGTAAATTCACTCGTTGCTCCCAAGAAGATACATTTAGAGGGAGTACAATCGCATACATCATATTTGACTCGTCATACATGATTGTAATTGTATATATGACTCAATAAATATTATTATTATTATTATTATTATTATTATTATTATTATTACTACTATTATTACTATTAATTTGCCTTGTTTCACAGACAGACAATTCAGGTAACATTTATTTGCAAACGTGAATCTGAAATACTCAATTTTTACATGTAAATTCACTTAAATGTAAAGTAATAGCTAGTAATAGGTAAAAACCTGTAATTCTACCAAAATATGTAAAATAGTGGTTTTAATGCATTCAGAATGTGATGCAAACTATATTAATTATTGAATGCAGATAACTTCTACGTGTAAAAACATAAATTTACAGGAAAATTGGTTCCTTTGTCATTACTTACGACAAAATTCCATTGAAGTGTTGGTATTCATTGCAAATCTTTGTATGTATATGAAATATGATTCAGGGGGGTTAAAAGTTTTTTGGAAAAATACCATACTTTAATCATAATTAACATTTACAGAATCGATACTTGTTCATATTGCTTTATTGCATATATACTGTACCTTACAAATGTTCATTTGTGTGTAAAAATGTGTGTGTGTGATAAAAATACATTCCAGTCTGCCTCTTTTCATTGGGACAAATGTAAATAATTCCAGATAAATACAAAATTTAAGGAAATATTATTGTATTGATTATAACATTCTTTTTTAGTAAAAATTTTAAATAAAAATAATGTTTTTCAGGTAAAACCTTCAAGAAAAACAGTAGAAAATGAAACCCCAGAAATTCAAGCTGGAGATGTTCAAACTCTAGCAGAAAAATTTACCTCGTGGTTTTATAGTATGTTAAATGATTATGTAACTGGACAACAAAGTGATAAGTTATGTGTAGAGCACTTTTGGAATGACTGCAGTTTACATTTAGTGATGGAATCTGCAACAGAAAATGTCATTCAAGATGTTCTCAGTAATTCAGAAAGTGTTGTAAATATGCTGAGAGACCTACAAATACAACATAAATTATATTTCAACCCTAACATTTCAAGTTCTGGAATTCGAGGAAAAGTGGATGCTCACGGTCTTGTTATGGTAATGGCATGTGGTACGTTGCATCAAGTAAATATTTGTGTTGGAATATTTCAGCAAATATTCGGCCTTGTAAGAGACCCTTTTATGCAAAACAATTGGAGAATTAAATCAACCAGTATAATACTGAGGAGTCAAAAAACTTCTCAATTACCCACATTAGAAAATGAGTGTTTCAATAATCTTTTATTACCAAGCTGACTATTGAAATTGAAATAACTTTTCAAAATATTTTACACAATGCATGTACTAAATTTATGCATGGATATAGCATATAACAACAACTTGACATTGTCATTGTATAATTCTAACTAGATTGATGTGGAAAAAAGTATTTATTATCATAATTTCTATATCTGACTAATTCTTAAACATACAGGTAGTATGGAAATAAGAATATTACATGTATAAATGTAAGATATGTATATATTATGTTGTTAAAAATATAAATAATTATTTTAATGTTCATTCAATTTTGTGATGAACAAGAAATGTATATTTTTCTAAGAAATGTGTATAATGTATTTGTGTTACAATTAAAAAGAAAGTTGCGCTACATCAAAATGAAAATCTAAATCTCTACTAATTGTACTCAAGTACTTCTTGATCTAACAAGTTTTCATCACAGTTTAAAGTGTGAAGAGAGAATTGTATTATTACAGGAAAAATAACATGTTTGAACCTAGTCTTTCAGAATTAATTTTGAAGTTTCCTCAGTTAATTGTGAGAAAAAAAGAGTACAATAAACTTTATTAAAATTATACATTTTATTCACTATTTTTAAATCCTTTCATATGACAATTATAAAAAAAGGTACTATTAGGAAACCGATTATTTCTTAAAATAATTGGTCTCCTAGTAAAAAGGAAATATTATTTTAAGATTATTAAAGAACAGTAAAACTTTGTACTAAATGGCAATATTCTTTTCAAAATTTAAGCTGTTTTTAAGAAAATGGTGTGTAAGCGCTACTGGAAATTCGAAATTTTAAGTTAATTTTTTTTTACAGGAAGTTTTTGGTTTTTTGACAATTTTCATTAGAAGTCATTTGAAACATTAACTCACAATTACAATAGTGTTTATAAATTGCTGGAAATGTGCATATTAAAAGTGTAAGAGATCTGTAAAAAAATTGCGTTTGTGTAATTTTAGAAAAAACAAAAAAAATCCCCAAAATGAACTTATTACCATGTTAGAGTGCAATTACACCATCCGTTCGAAGAAAAAAATTTGAAGCCATTTATGAGAAAATGGCGTTTGAGCATTCTGAAAATGCGGAAATTTAAGCCAGTTTTCACAGAAAACTACTTTTCTAGAAACGCTATCTGGCATTATCTAAAACATAAGTATGTAATAACGTTAATATGCGCATCGTGCGACATCTAGCGGCACGACCGAGAAAGATGCGAAATTCAGTGACAATGCCATCGTGAAGTAAGACCTTGAAAAATCGCAGGATAGTACAAAGCAAGTTTTGCAAAACGGCGGACTTATCGGCAGAAAAAAATCATTACCACACCCCAATAACGAAAAAGTGGATAAATTCAGCCGCTATAACACGCGGTGATTTAAATTCATATAGTCAAAAAACAGTAAAAATTGTATTGACGTATGGGGGAGAAGATTCTCTGCACACGTTTTCTTGAGTTCCAGATTCCCTTCCCGTCATTTTATTTATAATTAGTTGAAAGATGAGTAAAAGGTAAAATAAATAAAAATAAATTTCAAAAATCGCAAGATAAGCGATATTTGAAAAAAATAGACATTTTCGTTTCCAAGTTATAGAAAACTTATTTGCATCGATAGTCGAGTTGCAAGTATGATTTTTCTGCATTGCCAACCAACTAGTAACTCGCCCTTACTTCTGTGCCTATCATTACAAGCAAAAGGAGAGTTCAACAAAACGTGCGCCGGTGTAGCCAGAGTCCATGTTTTGTGGGTCCTTGATAATGGCAAAACGTCCGTCCGTCTGTGAACACCACTGGCGCCTAAACCACGTACGGTTCTTTCCAAAATGGACATTCCCCGGTCGATCTGGCTTCACTTGAGACGCCAAGATTGTGAAAAAAAATTCTCCAAAATTTAGGAGTACTTTACATGAAAGCCCAGAAAATTTTAAAAATTTTGTCAAAAACGGCTCTAATTTTGTTCTTTAAATTTCTTGTAAGGATAGAGTAAAATACACTTGAAGGTGACATAGGTCCAATTTTCACGGTTAACTCTGAATTTTCGAAAATTGCAAAATTTTGAATTCTTTCTGTGACCTTATATTCGTTGTTTTTTTTTCAAAATGTACAAAAATGTAATTGTTTGACTTATCTCTCACGTCGTTAATATTTACATTAGTGGCAATATATTCACATTAATATAATACTGACATAAAGTTCCTCGAAAACTTGACCGTTTTGTGTGAAAACTGACACAGAATTCCGCATTTTCAGAAACGCACAAACCCCATTTTCTCAAAAACAGCCCCAATTTTTTCTTCGAACTTTTCAAACGGGTAGTGCTAATTGCACTCTTTAATATGACGTAAAGTTCATTTCGGGGTACTTTTCCGTGTTTTTTTAATCACACAAATGTAATTTTTTTAAGATCTCTCACGCCATTAATATGCACATATCCAGCCATTTGCAAACAATTGTATTTGAGAATTAAAGAGCGTCAAATGGCTTCAAAGGAAGTTTTTCGAAAACTAAAATTTTCTGTGAATAAGATATTCAAATTTCGAATTTACAGTAGTGTTTAAGCGCCATTTTCTTTAAAACGACTCCAAATTTTTCAATGAAAATTGCGTTTTAGGACTGTTTTCCTGTTCAGTAATATTCATAAAATAATGTTTCCGTTATATTATTAGGAAACCGCAAAATTAAGGGTTTTTTTTTTACGCTGGGCAGGGGAAAATCTAAAGAAGACACAGCGGGGCCCGCAACCGCGCGCGTGTGGGATTTAATAGCTAGCCTGATGCCTACGCCACTAAAAGCCCTCCCTTTCCTTCCTAGTTCCTTCCCGCGGGACGCCGTCGAGGCATCTGGCATCGCGAGAAGGAAGGATGGGCTTTTCGCAACTTCACCGAAATATTACGGGCAGACTTTCTTCGTAGCTGCTCCTCGGAGCGGAGTGTCTTCAGGACCTTTTGCGGATAGGGTTTGGGGCCCCCCCCCCCCCCCCCCCCTTTTTTTTACCGGCCAAAAACTTTTTTCCCAATACCTCTTTGTTGTCAGCAGCATCCTAGTGAACGATGGTTCTCAGGGGTCACCTTCCTCTGGAGGAGTCCTGTGGAGTTCTTCCTTTCCACTGCGAAGCGTGGGGACAATGAAATGACAACGTGTTCTACATCTTTCAATCACTGGGGAACACCCGCTTGGGCATGAGGAGCTAATCGTCCAACCGGAAATCTGACTGATACTCTCGATAAGCATCCATGCCGCTGTCAGCATCTGAGTTAGAATAAAAATCCAATTCTCCATGTTTCCGCTATTGGATCCACGTCATGATTGGTGGGAATGACCGCGAAATGTCCATGCGCGCCAGTTGAATGATTTGCTGGCCCATCGTCGTTGCCATTGGTCATTGTCACCTCCCGCTCTTTTCTTTCGTAATGGTATTCCAGTTTGAGGCCCCCTCCCGTCGCTTCAAATAGAGTCTAGCTCTCTCCCTGCGGCAATGAGGTCGATCGGAGGCCATATCTGCTAACAACACACACACAGCATCATAAGATACGCGTGCGAAACGCTCGAGCAACGCCGCAAGGCGGGACCTTTCTAATGCACCGACTTAGCCCCACGGGCGTATGACTGAATGCCCATGGCTCAGCCCAAATATGGCTGGAGTAGATGAAGAATGGAATTTACTACGCTAGTCAGCAGCCTTTTCGGCTTCTCTTTGCCAGGACCCCTACATTAGGCATAATGCGTGCCAATGCGGAGTCATACGGAGACGCCTTTCCCCTCGGAGACATTGCGCAGGGTGCTCGTCAAAAGCGCTAGTCTTCGCGTCAATATGGATCTCCCAAATACCTCAATGACAGTGCGAGGATATTTGCAGCCTCCTACATAGAGTAATATCTCTCTACCTTTTCTGCCCGTCACGCAGCACAGCCCTGTTTGATGGGCGGCCATCCTGTAGCCCTACTGACGTAAAGCCACCGCCGGATCTCCGCCGCAGCAGCCTCGTTGGCAACCTGCCGTGACTTGTTCGGATGTTTAAATTTGCCGACAACGACAAATTTGACATCGTCAGCGAATCCAATCGTTCTTGCGCCTTCCGGCAACTCGAGCTTCAACACGGCGTCATAATTAAGTGTGTGTGTGTGTGTTTGCTGTTCGTTAGTCTCGCTAAAACTGGAGAACGGGTGGACCGATTTTGTTAATTTTGGTTTTAAAATATTCGTGGAAGTCCAGAGAAAGTTCAAAACGCGAGAAAATGTGGAAAAATTCCGAGGAAAATAGTAATAACAGCAATTTAATTTTTCCGTAAAAACTGCCTACCTGTCAAACATTTGATGTTCGTTCTGAGTTTTAGAAATTTATTTTCACTGCATTATATTACTTTCCTACACCCGCACACGTTATCAAACGCTTTATGATAAAAATTATACAATCTTTACACATATACGACATATACACGACTACACAAGTTTTGAAAAATACTATTATGCTACGACACGGCTCTCTCCCGCGTTCCCGCCAAAACACACTAAAACCATATACACACACGACTATACACAAGTTTTGAAAAATAATATCATGCCACGGCAAGACTCGCGTTCCCGCCTAAACTCCCTCGGGAATTCATGTTTGTCCCGTCGTTCAGAAACCAATCTGCCTTTAATAAAGGCACCACCTAAACGTTAAAAGCGTTTTAATCAAACAGGTTAATTATTAATTAACCGTTTATTTATGTTAATTGTGTTATGTTTTTATGTTAAAGTCATTTGTTAGTTATGTTTATGTTTTTATGTTAAAGTCATTTGTTAGTTATGTTTATGTTTTTATGTTAAAGTCATTTGTTTATGTGACTTTACATATCTTTCTAATCCTTTGTGATAGTAACACTACCGCTAAGTGCGCGAGAACTGTATACTTTGATTATTTACAATGCCATGAAGACGACCTAATATCAAATGTGCGACGAGATTCCTTACGTGCAAAACGTAACGAGAGGCAGATTATAATAGTCATATTGGTGTGGCAGAATTGCATAGTGACTGAAAATGAAGCGGATAGGCTTAGAATGCAACAAGTTCGAGCACGGCAAAGCCAACAACAGCGAGCACGACACAATGGATTTGAGTGACTCCACACACGCAGTGCTCCTGTGATCGTGAATCGAGCAGCATTCAACTGCGATCTGGAAGTAGATTATTGTGCCAACAAATCAGTAACACTTGGGGAAATGAAAATTATTTGTCAGAATTGCAAGGTGTTAAAATACAGCGATAAAACTACTGGATTATGTTGTGCTGGTAGAAAAGTAAAATTGCAACAATTGGTGCCACCACAAAATCCATTCCGCTCATTAGTTTCTGGAAAGCGATATGATTCTAAAAACTTTTTGGCCAACATTCAAAAATTAATAGTTTTCAGATGACTACATTAGGTGCAACGCATATTGTGCAGGACAATTTCATGCCCACTTACAAGGCATTATACCACAATAGTATTTAATACAACTCAAATTTGTATTCGTATAAGAAATAATGTAACAAAATCTTAAATAATTGCAGATACATGGACAAATTTATCACTTACTGGGA